AAAGACCTTCCTGATGAAATCCCTCTGCCACTCATCATAGGAACCAAAGTCACTGGTAGGAGGAGTCTAATGAACACACGCAGCCTCAGCAGCAGTTATAACACATCTCTGGTTAACTGTTAAGAAATGATTATCATTCTAGTCTAATAACCTGCTTCACACCCACTTATTCAGTATTTACCAGATGTGAAGAAAAACGTGTCAAATTCAACGGAAAATAAATATTGTAGGGAGTGCAGATGTTTTAATTTGGATGTAATAATGAATATTTAAATTACATGGGAAAATATGTATTTCTGTAGTTAGTTTATTTAACATACATAGCTAAGATATACTCTCAGTTTATACCAGGGCTGCACGATATTGGAAAAAACTGACATTGCGATATTTTTTTCCCCTGCGATATGAAAAAATACAGGAATTGAAGAAAAGACAGTTTTATTTTCCGCAAACCATCCTTTCTTGAACTTTAATGCTATACAATTGGTATTTTCTTAACGATATTTAACCGGATGAAGGATTTTTGTCACGGACGTCTGGATCTTAAGTTATCAGAGCAACAAGCTGAGCTAGCTTGGTTAGCAGCGCCGAACTGCCCTGGAGAAACACATGAAACTACTTTATTCAGTGTTTTTACCTTTTAATCACCGGGTCCGTTTGCTTTGCAGATTTGATTTTGATTGGTGGTTTGCTGTGCATGCAGAGACTGAGAAAAAAGGGAAAAAAATCGCACGTCCTGCGATATGACTATCGCGCATGCGCATAACGCGATTATCGTCACGACACGATATATCGCGCAGCCCTAGTTCATACCAACAACAAACAAACAACAACTTTGATATATTTTATGCAGTCCCTAATAAAAGTACATTTGATGTTATTGTTGAACAGTTACGTTTTTCTCTGCACTGCAATTTCTACACTTCTTCACAATGTTCATTTAGTTGGATAAGTTGCATGGTTTAGAAACAGATATTTTCAGGACAATGTAATGATCATTAAGAAGCTTTTGCAGTAGTTACAGTAGTAATGATGTCTCACACTGATATGAACAGTATTACCAGTACAAATCCCAATTTATTTATTTGTTTTTGTTTCCTGCTCTACAGCGAGACTCCGAGGCGTCCACGATGGGTTGTTCACCGGGCAGATCGATGCCGTGGACACCAGCGCCGCCACCTACCGCGTCACCTTCGACCGCAGCGGTCTGGGAACACACACTGTGCCTGACTACGAAGTGTTGGTAAGGACCGCCTCTTTCAACACAACAGCTCTCCTGAAAGTGTGTTTGACATTAGACAAGTTGTAGGAGCCATGTCAGAGAGTGGGGATTTCTTTTAATTTAATAGGGTTTTTGAATGTTAATATTTTGGCTTTGGTGTTTGTTTATAATATTACGACTTATTCTTTTGTGATCAATTAAGCGTTGGATTAGTTGGACGACACTCATAGTGATTATAATCACCTTTTCACCTGTGTGATTATTCAGAAAATATATTTGTGCAAGTTATAATAAGTTGATCATTTTTCTTAAAGTAAGATTTTGTTGAATGCATTTTTGGATCGCAGCGTTTATTTTTGGCAACCAGGCCCGACCTCAGCCTCTCAGCGTCTATGTTTGTTCCTGAAGTGGCTACACAAGTAACAACTTGAGTTTGCTAGTCTTTATTTGTATTAGAATGTCCTTGTAAAATAAGAAACGGTCATGATACAAAGATGTGCAATATTTGGACTTATGGAATGTGTTTTGAAACCTCAGATGATATTGTGTTTTCCAGAGCAATGAGCCCAATGAGACCATGCCCATTTCAGCCTTTGCCCAGAAGCACCGGATATCTCGCTACATGCATAACGTCATGACTCCGCCCAGAGGGCCGTACCCGTCCGGTACGACTCCTGTCCTCATGGTACTGTCAACCTCCTACACTGGCAGCTTCACATGTGCTCTGTACATTTTTATATATGAACACACAGCCCATTCATTCTGAAGAGCTGTAGCTGTAAATGGATTTCTGCTAAATCTAACTTGGATATGCTACACAGTTCATGCCTTGGTACACTTCATCAAGTTCAGTTCTAAATCTACTGAATCTCTTCCTCTTGGTTGCTTATGATCAATGAATGAATTGTCCTTTTTAATTGTTTGTAATAACAGGATAATGACCCTCTTATCAACCTGTCACCGTGGAGGAACAAACTGCCTGGTGCTGAGGGAGATACTCTGGGGGGTTTTCCTGTCAAGTTCCTCGTCCAAGTGGTAAATACGTCCTGTCAAATGGAACAATAAAATGTGATATCCTAAACCTGTGTAGCGCTTTGTTTTAACTAATTCTTTGTTTATTTTTCCATGACTAGACAAGGCTGTCGAAAATCCTCATGATCAAGAAAGAGCACATCAAGCACTTGAAAGAAATGAACACGGAGGCAGAGAAACTGGTACATCATCATCATAATTTTAGAAAAAGGTGCTCCAAAAGCTGTTAAATGTTGTCTTGGGGTGCATACATCAAAACTAACTATGGCTATGGTTGTGTTTTTGTGCTCAGAAGTCGTACTCGATGCCTATTGACCTGGACTTCCAGAAGCGATATGCAACCACAGTGCTGGAGCTAGAGCAGCTCAATAAAGATCTCAACAAGGTGCTTCATGAGGTCCAGCAGTTCTGCTGTGATGTAAGTACAAACAAAAACATTATGTAAAACCCCTGCAGCCAAGTACAGAAAATAATGATTCATTGTGACCTTTCAGTCAACTTTATGTCAATGTCTCTATGTGTGTGATACAAACAGAGAAATCGAAATGCTGTTCAAATCCAGGTCTATTTCATGCCCTGGTATTCTGATATAACAGTGCCTAGTTTATGACGTGAATCATTAATGTGTCCGTCCAGCTGGCTCCGGATCAGGGCATGGTGCCGGCCGACCACCCCACAGAGCTGCGGCGGCGCTGCGAGGACGAGGCCCAGCAGATGGTGCAGCTGAGCAACTCTCTCAAGGACGGACAGCAGAGTGTGACCAACCCCAGCCTCACACAGCTCATGTCCCGCCTCACTGCGCTGCTGCTACAGATCAAGGTAGAGGAAATACAAACGCTGAGCTACTGTCTGCTTTCAGTCCTGAATACATGTTCTCTAACTTATGGCAGGAGGAACTTCTATGTCATATATTAATGGCAGAGAAATGTAAAAATACACATGCGTTAATAAGTCTTTTGTGAAGTTTCTTTAACAGTTGTTTATGAACAGTTTTTTAATATTAGTCCTATGCCTTGGTAACTTGTTATTTTTTGTCTGCTTTGTTTCAGTGTCTGGCTGATGGAGGAGACTTGAATTCTTTTGAGTTTAAATCTCTAACAGACTCCCTTAATGACATCAAGGTGTCGATTGATCCCTCCAACCTCAGGTAAAAGAACCTGCACTGTCTTCATCTCCACTTCCTTAGTCACACTAAACAAACAGTGGTTGATGGGATGGCTCACCATTTTCTATTTGTGCCAACGGCAAACATGAGTAACTTAATATGGTCTTTTATTAGTATTCAAATCAATATTAAGTCAACATTCAGTCAGCCACAAGTACTGAGTATTTCCAATAACAATTTATTTCTGTGACTTTCTTCTTTCTTTTTTGCATTTGAACAAATGTATATACCATACTTATACTAGAGTCACAGACCATATGGATACATTTACATATAAATATATAATCAAAGAAATAGAAAATATAAAGAAATGTCACGAAAATAACAGATTTCATAAATATCTGCATGGGGTATACAGTATATCGTTCAATTAGGAAACAACCATGGATACACACACACACACACACACAACTGTCACATTTGAAAGGAGAACAATATTGCGTGTTGTAAACCTTACTTAGATTCCCATCTTTTTCGAAGCTATGAACTTAATTTCTAATTATGATGGCTATATTTCACTCCATATTGAAGAGTTAATTGAGTCACCATGTTTTAACCACTTCCTTCTCTCTGTTTCTAGTTGCTTCCAGAACAACGTTGAGATCCACGTGGCACACATCCAGAGCGGCCTTAGTCAGCTGGGCAACCTGCACGCATTTTCTGCCAACAACACCAACGCAGTCTGAGTGCCGCCACACACAGAGGTGCGGTCCATTAACATCGTCTTTTGAGGTGGTGCTTTCACTTGAATTGATACAAGACTGCAAACATAAATAACTCACGTGGACGTTTTGGACCAGAAGGTTACAATCTGAATGTGGATGTTTCTGGGAAACGGCTCAGAGTTCTGCCCAGACTCCTGACGTTATTTCCTGAATGGATGATGTCGTAAGTATTTTACCCACCCGTTTTATTGTAGGAGAATGTTGGTGCACCCAATTAAACACAAATCTGAAAGAGCCTTTAGCTATCACCACAAATCCACATCTACAACCTCTCCACGGTTATTTATTGGTTCCATGTGCCAAACATTGATTCTTACTGTTTTTATAGTCCATATTTATTTATTTTTGAGTAGGTGTTCATGGTTATTAAAATGGTATTTTGCTATCTCTAAAGTTTCCCCCTGTAAGTGTTGTGTTCAGTTGCTCCGTGGATGTTAAGCACAGGGATGCTAAAGAATGTTTTATAAAATTGTTTATTGTAGATAATTGTACAATATCTCTGATTATTAGGACTGTTGTCTACATTTCTGCTGTGTAATCAGAAATGGCTTTTGTAATTTTGTGTGCACTGAAAAGAGATTTTTGTATTTTTATAAAGGAGAACTCTGGGGGTTTTTGATGCCTTTTACTCCTTAAAATTATATTAGCATTTCCATATTTGGCATGGCTGTTGCTGCCCCCCCCCTACACTAAGCCTGCATCACTGATGTATGCCCACGAAAAATTCAAGTCAGCAGTTTTTTCCTAGAGAATCTCCTTTTTCAGTTTTTGTAAAGTTGTATATGAAAGTGCCTCAGGGCAATTGTATATAAATGTTTCCGTCTTTTTATATTAAACATAATATTGCAAAGCAGTCTTGTATTTGTTAGTATTTATTAATCAACATTTATTTTTCTACAATTCTATTACTATTTTACAATAAATACACATTTTCCTTTTTTGCAAACAATTGTATACTGCCTCTACACCAGTGTTTCTCAAACTTTTTCATACCAAGGACCACTTAACCAATGAAAAAACACTCGCGGACCACCTAACTCCACAAATATCCAAAAACACATCGTTTTTTTAGAACAGATTACAAATCGCCTGAAAATGGTACAAACAAGTGGCAACATGTGTGATGAAGGTGTTGCGCTGGGCTATATCATGCAATCGAAAGTGAAACTTAAGCTCGCTCCATTGCGGAGATATTCCCGCGAGAGTGCGGAAAACTTAAATTTATTTATTTATTTCAAATGTGAAATGTTACCAATATACTCACGGACCACTAGGGGGCGCTCACGGACCACCAGTGGTCCGCGGACCACACTTTGAGAAGCACTGCTCTACACGTATACACGTAGCTGTATATATATCAGCTGTTATAATACATCACATAAAGCCACCAAAGCCTGCCAAGGCATCGCTTTCCCAGTCAGAGTCAGAGTCGGTAAAATCCTGCGCCTCAGTGGCGTGGATCGGGGAGAAGTGGCTGAACCGATCTCCTGCGGACATCACGCGTGGATACTGGATTTGGCATCCATTATCCTTCGGCGATGACCTGCTGAAGTTATTCTGCGAGGGAATGGGAGGAATCACAACTTTCATCTCTGGGCCGATGGTCTTGTTGGGGGGGAAGTTGTCATATTCCACCAGAACCTTCGGGCCCTGGTTGGCGGGCATGTTGGCTTCCATCTTGGGCTGATGCTCGTTCTCTTTGGGATACAGGTGGACGTTACAGCACGGCACGTTGACGCTCAGCTTGTGCCGCTGCATCTGATCAGGCTTTGCTCTCGACCCCTCTTTGTCGTAGAGGCAGGAGACAGGCGTGTGTTCGTAGCTGCTGGGCTTGGCGGGCATGCTGGTTCTGTGAGGGTCATCTGTGCTCTGGTGCATGGAAGGTCTGAAACTGTCCTCCAGTCCAAAACCTCCAATCCTTTGGGCCTCGGCTCCATGATTGTTGTCATACACTGGAAGAGAAAAGAAGAGTAGGGCGATTAAAGTGTTACTTTACTCATTCATCACACTGGAGGGAGAAAAAGCAACATTTTTCATGACGATCAAGGGTAGAAGTGAACACCAAGAGAATATTGGCCCTTTCCAAATGTAATAATAATAATCTTTATTTGTTTTGTTTCTCAGAGGGAACAAATTCATGCCTTGCTTCCAGATTTTTTATAATTTTCCTATGTAACAGATTGGGAGTGAAATCCCATAATTCACTGCTTCCAGAATGCCATTTTTATAAAAACATGTTACATTGATAAGAAGCTTGTAGAAATGTAGATATTCGTATGGGTATACCAACAAAATCAGTGGGTCCATAAAATCTGTCTCCTATTTATTATCTATGAGCCTCAGATGTTATACCTGGTCACATGATACGTTTGAGACTTATTTCTATTCCTTTTAATACATATTTGATAAAACGTTCCAAGGCCATGGGAATAAAATGTAATTCTTAATCTAAGGAAGGTACCCAAAACAAGAAAACAATGATTTTCTGCATTATTTACCTTTCTCTGGGCCCATCCTGCTCTGGAGCTGGCTGAATGGGCTCGCTGCTGGCGGTGTGGGGACCTTCATAGACCCTGAGGAGCCCACCTGGCGACGAGACTTGGCCCTTCTGTTCTGAAACCACACCTGAAACGTGTGCATGAAAGAAATATGTCAGTTTAACAATTCACAATAACTTGTTTTCTGATGTACTTTAATTGTTTTGATCAAATGGCTTATTGAAAAATCTCTCAACATCTTTGATTGATCTGTTAATTTACCTGAATTCTGGACTCAGGAAGCCCGGTCAGAGCCTCCAGTCTCTCCCTCAGGTAGATGTCAGGATATTTAGTATCCGAGTAAACTTTCTCCAGCACCTCGATTTGCTGCTGGGTGAAGTTAGTCCTCTTTCTCCTGTGGGTCAGTATTGCCACGCATTTCTCTGCCCTTGGCGCAGAGTTCGCAGAGTTGAAGTAGTTGGTCACATCTGGAGCTCCATAATCTGGAAAGAAAGCGTGCAGAAATAAGTAAGAGCCAAAGCAGCTGCAAAGTCGTGTTGGACTGTTACCAGTGGTGTGGCTACTTAATAGCTTTTGCAAAATGCAGTCTTATTCTTATTCCTTGCCACCTACCTGAGTTCACCGTGCTGTTCGTCTGCAAAGGTCCCTCGTGATACATCTGGAAATGATACAGATCCCCGACTCGCATATTCCCATGAGTTGAAGACATGTTCCTCTTCGTATTATTTCCAGCGACTGTTTGAGAGGTGCGCTGCTCGCTGGGGTTAAATCCCCCGGCGATCAAAGGTGACGCTGGCTATGTGTGAATGGGGCAGCCATCGGGGCCGGCTGGCACTGCAGCGGCCGTGCGCAAACTTCAGACGTCTGCAGGCCTCCGGAGGTGTGAAGGCCTCGCACCTGGGACGGTGGAGCGGCCGCAGGTCTCTTAAAAGGGTTTTAATGGAATCTGCATGCTCAATACACATCGGCAGTGAAAACATTTATCCGCTTTGGAATGGGTGAAGTAATAATGGACATGTAGCCTTCAAAGACAGTAGGAAACTGCTATTTCCTCAACGGGTAACCCTCACACGGACTGCTGTTTGTTGCTGTAGTGAATATATATTATTGCTGTATCATATGGTCTCCGGTCAAAGTCTTTATGTTGTGAAAAGTGTATTTATTTCCATGTATTTAACTGAATGTATGCGTAATTTGCGAAGACTGTACGCTATGTACAATTTCCTGCTATGTGTTTGAAATGTGTGTGTAGGCCTACATAATAACAGGCAAGATTCAAATATCACATTAGTTCAGCATTAAGATTTTATTACATGTTTTGTTTTTATTTTAATAAAAATAATATCATTCAATATGTATTTAGGCTTATTCTGAATGATTCTGCATCTCGGCCTTTATTCTACCAGGATTATACTTTGAATTGGTGATTGTTTTTCCATAAATGTAAAAAAAATGTTATTTTTGAAGAACATATTCAGGTCTTTGAAGGTCTACTCCACACTGGTGTATATAGGAAATATATGCTTCCTGTCCTCTTTCAGTGGCAACAAAGTTAATCTCAATACACAAACCTCAAAAGTAAGCAGGAGTGGGCACTTGTTATTGAATGGCTCAACTTCAATTAATTCAGGAGGGATCAAGTCAATAGGTCAGGTAGAACCACAGACAGACTAATTTGTTTACACATATTTGGACAATAATTATCTCAGGGGGGCAGTTTACAGTAAACCTCTTCTTATGTCTCTATATTATCTTGTGGCATTTTCCTTTTTTCCCTGTATATGAATTATGTTGTCTTGTCATTTTGTTTTATATCTTAGATTCTGGATTTTGATTGCCTTATAATATTTCTGTTTAAATATAAAGCTCTTTATTTTTGGAGGGGCTATATATAAAGCTTTCATTATAGATTCAAGATGTAAGGCTTTATTGTCATGTGCACAGTATGGATATGACAATGAAAAACTAAAGTCCCTGGCTCTTCCAACAATGCAACATAATATGTATAGGACATAAAACAAACAAAACCAATAATAATAGTGCAAGAAATAGCAGAATAGATATAACAATTATAAGTATCATACATAATGGTTGCATAGCTCGTGTCCTACGTCAGAGTGATTTTTTGTTATTTACATACATGGGCAATTATAAATTCAATTTCATGCATCGTAGTTAATTACGTTGGGTGTGGGGAGACACTATTGCATATAAAATGCATTCCAGATCTTTACTGCATCATCATATGATTTATTTGATACAGCTATGACTGGGTTAAGTCATTGTGGAGTAGATTGTATGAAGTTAAACTTGCAATGCACAAAGAGACCTGTAACACAGACTAAAAAAACACCAACAGTTTTCTCTGGTTATATTGGTTGAGCTCTGTGGGAAAATAACTTGACAGCCATCGTGTAATTTCAAATCCAAAACATCACTTTTTGATCTCTGTACTCTGACACATACAGCATTGTTCAGGTAGGATGTGCAGGTAAATACATCATTCACAGTTCACAGACTGTTTTGTCTTTGAGCCCTAATTGGGTATTGCCTGTGTGCACAGACCAGATTGCTATGCTAAAATCAGGCTGTTGAAGTTCCTGATCTTTGTAATGGACTATGACAATGTTTTCTGAGAGCTGAAATGAACAGCAATGCTTCATCGGTCATCTGTGGCTTCAAAGCTCTTCAGGCATGAAAATATGATGTATGTAAAGTTTATTGTTAAAACCCTACTGTGATTCACACTCTACCTTTTCTTTCAATTTATATTTAAATCTGTTATTAAACCATGGTGTACTTATATGTTATTTGTTATTTTTACCTATTGTGTTTTTATTATAACGTCTTCCCACTTTTTTATATAATATGTTAGTCTACTATTTATTATTAATCTGCACTCTTGCTGTTGTTAAAATGTCCCTGTTGCAGGACAAATAAAGGGATTCTGATTCTAAAAGTATATAGCATTATCCAATTCCACACACCACATTATTTATAGTCTAAGCTACTTGCTATGATGTCCCTGGATGGGCCCTTAAAATGCATAAAACACAAACACTCTACATTAGGTACATACACAAAACCCACAACTTAAAAATGAACACGAAAATGCAGTCTAAACATAACATAACAGGAAACTAGCTAATACTGACTGATCCCTCTTACAAAATGTTCAGTTGAAGTGATCCCAATCATGATCCAGTTGAGATCGTTTCCAGATGTTGATCACCCGAACAGAAAAAGCTGTTTGTCCAAATGTAGATTTACATGAGGGCACCTACAGTTCCTGATGGACCTTTATTTTATTATTGAGCGCAAAACTGTGAGTGGAACCACAAGATCACTGAGCACATGTTAGGCCTTGTTATGTGGGCATTCATGGATATCTTTACACCGATGAAATTTAAATATGTTCAATTTCCTAAGACCAAAGAGATGATGTGATCTTATTGCTTCATTGTATATCATGAGAGGTTTGTTTATTGTAGATGTTGCTTTTACCAAAATAAGATATCAAAGATCATCGTTTATTACTGTCACAGTTGTACATTTGCAGTGTTACAGCCGCAAGAATGGACCGGTTCAAAAGAGGCCTTCCTTAAAAAATCCACATATAATATTTACTAACCAGTAGAAAAAAGGCTTAGAACAGGTTACAAATGGCTTTTATGTTAAAATCACAGAATGCACAGGCAGCATGAAATAGTAGCTTCTAGTAAGTTAAGAAGTATTTACATTTTCTTTGGTAACCTTGCTCACTATCATGAATGTGAAGTCAGCATTGCTGTTGTTACGCATGTTTAATTTTGGTGTTTTTATTAAGTCATCCCATGACATTTTTTTTTGACAAAATAGATACAAAATAATGCTGGTATATTGTAGTTAACAGCCTGCACTTTAAACATCAAACAGTCAAAACACTTTGGGATTTCTACTGGCCATTTCCAGTTGGCAGCTTACTGTAGACACAAACAAAAGCATGTTCACACCTTTCAAGTCTGACTAATGTTTAGCCCACAGTTTGACCTGACCACTATACATTTAACCTGCAGACAGACAGGTAAACTATCCTCACAAGTTTGCAGGTACATGTTAAAATGTCATTGTCTTAAGGGCCGTTGGTATAAGTTTGGCAGTTGTGTATTTGAGGGATGTTTTATAGTTACTTTACTTATAATTCATTGTAAAGGCTCATAGCAATCACAAGCAGAAGATGAGTATGATGATAGTGTGTGTACATATCTTCTAAGCAAACAATTGTAAACACTATTTGAATACATTTTGTTAATATAAGAGCTGGATCGAAAAGGTCCCTGGCCTAATACATTGACAATAAGTGTTAGCTTATTACAGGAAATATGCCATTGCTGGAAAAAAAACATGTCAGTACAGGAAATGCTGATGATATATTTGAGGTATTTTAGCTTTGGTGTCTTTGTTACATAGTTTGACCATCATGTTTATTTTACAGCTTTAATTACCCCATTAAATGAATCCCAAAATGTTTATGTTTTTATAAAAAGGACTGCAAGCCTAAATAATACTATCATATTTAAACTCCAAAATATTAATATTGTTAACAGCGCAATCTATTTTATATATGAAAAGTCATTTCAAATTCCACAATAACATATGTTCATGATAAAATAAACCCTTGAATACAAAACATTAAAAAACGTTATGCATTGTATAAAAAACAAAAAACAAAAGCATTCAAAGGAAATTCCGATTTATAACACTCCCAATTGTTAAAAAGTAAATAATTTGTGTAAATATGTATCTGATCTGTTAATGCGACGTCATTATTTACATCGAGGGAAGAAAAAACCTCCCGGAACTTCCGCCAAGACTAAACGGAAGTAGGTACGTGGCCGCTTCAGCTGACAGTCTACATGATGGCGACAGAGGTTCAGAGCGGCGACCTCGACAGTGCTACTTCCAGCCGGCTCGAAGTTTCTATCGATGGCCTCACCCTCAGTCCCGACCCGGAGGACGAGCAGCTCCAGGCCCAGGAGCCGGAGCCCGAAGCCGCGGAGCCCGAGACCGACACACCGGCTGCAGCGGGAGGGGAAGATGGAGAGACAGCCAGATCAGCCATAGAGAGGAAATGGGGCTTTCCTCTGCTGGAGCTGTATGGGATGGGCCTTCAATTCTTCAAAGGTATTTTACATGTGTTATAAATCTCACGCATGTCACGTAAAGAAGCAGATAGCAGGAAGAACCGACTTAAATACGAGTCACCCGTTCGGTGGAGTTAGCCGTTTGCTGTCACCGGGGCTGCTGCTGTCAGCCGCAACATTTCTTTAGCTTCAAAGCTAACCAGCAGTCAGCGCAGCTAACAGGCTGCTAGCTGGTTGTTAAAGGGTCAAATAAGCACGCCACTTCCGAGTGTGTCAATACGTGGCCTCAAAACAATATCATCCATATTTTCCCCTCGTGTTGTGTACCTTCTTTGTACTTTTATTTGTGTTTTGGAAAGAATAACCTGGCTTGTCAAGCGACTGCTTCATCAGCTGTAATTTAAGACGCTGTTCATGCTAACTGAATGGTGCCTCATAGTGATTTGTTTGTGGGCTTTAAACACGCCCTGCCCTGTCATTGATGCGGCTAAAGGGAGCCTGCATGTCAGCTGCTTACACATATCTTTCTCTGATCAATTAGACGCTGACATATCATCACTGTGCCTTAGAAGTTGGTTATTCCTTGCATTACATAGTCTGATC